CCTCCTGTGACCCATGGCAAACCTCTTCATCTGATGACTGAATTTTCCTTTTTCCTCTCTTTTTTTTTTTTAACTTTCTTCCAGATGCCTGTGGTCTGTCGGATGTAGCCCACGTGGAAAGCTTGCAGGAAAAGTCCCAGTGCGCGTTGGAAGAGTATGTCAGGAGCCAGTACCCCAACCAGCCCACGCGATTCGGCAAGCTGTTGCTTCGTCTCCCTTCCCTGCGCACCGTCTCCTCCTCTGTCATAGAGCAATTGTTTTTCGTCCGTTTGGTAGGTAAAACCCCCATCGAAACCCTTATCCGGGATATGTTACTGTCCGGCAGCAGTTTTAACTGGCCGTATATGGCAATTCAATAAAAAAAAAAAAATCCAAGTAAGAAGGGGGAGTGAAGCAGAGAAAGCAAAAAGGCAAAAGACTGGTTTGTTTGCTTAATTCCTTCTGTTAAGAAAGGATATACAAGGATGTTACACGTTTGCTAAAAAAAAAAAAAAAGAAGAGAGGGGAAGAACTTAATGGACTGTGAATTTCCAAAACATTAAGAGACTGTCAAATGAACTTTTACAGAATGCATTAAAAAAAAACAACAACTCCTGTGTCGGTCAGAACAACTTGCTACTTATCATTTTTTTTTTGTATAAAAAGGAAATTAGTCTTTTTCTTTTTTTTTTTGGTAAATTTTTGAAAAATATTGCTAAAAGTGCATTTAAGGAGATTGGGAGAAAATGAGCAGAATGGAGAAAGTAAGTCTTTTTTTTTTTTCCAAATTATTCATTGTCCTGTGTCTGTACCTCTAGCTGTTCTTTTTTGTATTTTCCTGGTTCTAAACCAGTTTATTCTGTGGTTCTATAATAAGTTTTGATATAATCTTGGCTTCTTAAAAACTGTGTATCCTTAAAGTATATGTTCTGCAAGAATTAAAACTGAGTCCATGAAAATATCATAGGAAGACATTAAAACTTTTTAAAAGGAAACTCAGAGCTGATGGGAACGCACTTAGAGGTGGTGGCCAAAAATTTTAGGTGAAGTTGAGCTAATTTGAGATCTGCAAGAACCACATACAACACTTAACTCCCCCTCCCTGCCCCCCCCCAAAAGACACCAAGACAAACCTAGCTTTTTAAAAAATATTTTAAGAAAGAGAATGAACTGTGGAATTTATTGGCAGCCAAGGAATGTGTCCAAGACACATGCTGAGGTTTTGAATAAAAAGTGAACTTTTGTAATTTGAATTGGGTCCCGCGCTAAGTTCTTGAATTGTTATGAAAAATCCTCTATCTGTTTGTATATTTGCAAACCCTTTGTATTATAACTGTTGATATTCCCTTTTTAAAAAAAAATACCCATTGAAATCAGCATGACAAAATTACACTGTTGGCACTTATAGATAATGTGATTGATTCAGTATCTTAGAGTTTACAGTTTGTGTTTTAAAAAAAACTGAAGGTTTTTTTTTTAAAGTGCAACATTTCTGTATACTGTAAAAGTTATAATAACTGAACTGTTTGGTCGAGTCTTTGTGTGTTATATTCCAAGGAAAATTTGAAAGTATTCAGAAATTAAAATATTATTTGATATCTGAAACCTGTTTGGCTGTCCCCACTCACTGATTTGCCATAGACAAGAGCCCCCTAAGAGCTGTCCCCAGTGGGGCTGGAGGGTCCATTTGTTGACGATCCTCAGTTTGTTCCAAAGTGGACTAGTGTTACTGCCTGCTTAATTTGGGAATGTTGGGGGGGAGGGGAAGCTGAAGTTAATGGTTTATCTATGGTTTTAGGAAGTGCCATCCTGATTTGGTAAACCACCCCCCTTCACCTAATCCTCTTTTTAATTAAAAATGGATTTTCCAGGAAAAAAAAATAAAGGCCCTTATATTTGTCACACTTAAGTGCCTGCTTAGGGAAGAGAAGGTATTGTGCAGTCTTAGAAATCTGGAGATCAGTATCTATTTTATGATCAGGAAAATAAATAGTGTTTTGTACATTTCTGACGCAGGAGACTGTGTACAAGGAGTTTTTCCTAAAGTAGGTGTGATTTTAAAAAATATATATTCTGTGGTTTCTTAGCTAGCGAAGCTGTTGAGAGGATTTTAAATGCTGTGCTGAGGGGTCTGCTTTTACTGTCTATGTGACAACTGCCTGTCCCCTCCCCGCTTCCGTGAGGGCCTGACAGGGCCACTGGCGTTCTGTGCCTGAAAACACATGGACATCCTGACATTTCAGACCGTGTGGACGCACTGCTCATGGGACCCTTGGTCCTGAGGAGCCAAATTAAGGAAAAGGAGAGAGAGAGAGAGGGAGAGAGAGAGAGAAGGAAGGAAGGAAGGAAACTTGACTGACAGGGTGTGCTGAGTTGGAAGTAGGGGCTATTTTGTTTGGGAGTCTCTTCCCTCCTCCCCACCCCACCCCCCTTCCCCGGTGTGGAGAAAGCTCAGCTCCTGGGAGCTTGCAATTTTGTTCTGGTTGAGGCTCTCTCTCCAGCACCCCACCCCCCATTTCCCTGTGTTGTGGTTTAATTTAAAAACGGGGTGGGGAGGGGAGGAGACAGAAAAGGGGTCATTTTGCAAAGTCTATTAAACTTGGAGACTCAGGTGCCAGGCGGTGCATGTAGAGCAGGACTCTGCTGTGATGTGAGCATCTGGGCAGCTCCCCAGCGCACCCTCGGCTTCCTTGGGTAGCTCCGCACATACATGACGCTAAGCATGTTCTTAGGGCAGAAGAGCCCTGACCTTTTGGGTGGAGGTTCTGTCCTCCCGCACCAAGTGCTGTCCATGCGAGCCTGTGAAGTTGGTCCAGTCAAGTCCCACACAGGCCCGGCTCCTGCCTTGTTTTGTGTTAGCTTATTGTAAACAGCCATTTGTTGTAAATGATTATTGGCATTAAATGATAATTTATGATTTCTCAAAGCCAAAGACGGTGCCTGTTTTATTCTGCTTCCAGCATGGGTCCTAGGCGCCGGGGTTGTGTCCTCTCTCGGTCTCTTGAGTCGCAGCAGACGGGGGGTGTCTGCGAGGCAGGCACACAGGACCCCCCATTTCTCAAACGGTTAAAACAAAACCTCTTGTCTGTGTGTAGAGTGGCCCGGAGGAGGATCTGTTTAGATTCTTGAGCTTGGTTTAAGTTTATGGCATTTAAAGAAAGTTTTTCTTTTCACGCTGAGTTAGAACAAAAGATCTTTTGCTGCGACCGAATCGGACAAAAGGCGAGGGCTGGAACCGAGCGGGCGCGTTCTGTGTGAAATTGACGAGATCTTTAAAAAAGCTGCTAAACATGGCGACTCTTTCCCTTTAAGTGTCTCTTTTTCCTTGCTGCTTTTTTTTTTTTTTTTCTTCCGATCTGAGCTCGCTTTATTTCTTCTCCCACCCCGCTCC